TCTCCCTCCCTCCCTCCCTCCCTCTCTCCCTCCCTTCCTTCTTTCCTTTCTTTTTTAGACAAGGTCTTCTTACATAGCTCAGGCTGGCCTTGAACTTCCTATGTAACCTGGGCTTGACTTTACTCTTGCAATCCTCATGCCCAGCTACCTCCTGAGTGCTGAGATCCCACACCCGTGCCACCGTCCTGGCTAATATGACCCTCGAGTAATCTAGAAACCAGTAGATTCCTACATGCTTACCTTCAGCACACGCACATCCTATGCACGTGTACAGCAGAGCAGCAGGGTGTGGTTTATAGGCTTTGGTTCTCAGATATGCGTCAGCTGCTCTTACTGCAGCTTACTTAGTGATCTAGAATGGTTTTTGGATGAAAACTTGCTGTTTGGGAGTTTGAGGACAAGGCCAATAAAATTATTCAGTTCTGGTGTGTGGGTGGCACGTGTATGTGGAAGTGTGCCTGTGTGTGCATGTGTGTATGCTTGATATGTGCATATGTGTGTGTGGATGTACGTGTGTGCTTGTGTGTGCATGAGTGTATGTGTGTGATATGTGTATGTGTGCGGATATGTGCACACACACTTATGTGTGCATGTGTGTTTGATGTATACATATGTGTGTGTGGATGTGTGTGCACGTGCTTGTGTGTGCATTTGTGGATATGTGTGGGTGTGTGCATGTGTGTGTGTATGTATATGAGCACTTGTGTATGCACTGATGCAGAAGCCAGAGAAGGCTGTGGGTGTCTCACTCCATCACTTTAACCCTATTCCACTGAGACAGGGTCTCTCACTGCCCCTGGATCTGAGCTGATGGCCAGCGAGTCCCAGCAATCCTCCTGTCTATCCCTTAGATCACTATGGTTGCAGGAGAATGTACAGACAGACACACCTGGCTTTTTACCTGGGTACTGGGGATTTGAACTCAGGTCCTCACGCTTGAGCACTGATCCATCTCCCCAACCTTCCCCTTCTGAGACAGTGTCTCAAGTTTGGCTGTCCCCAAACTTGCTACATCCTTGAGGATAACCTTGAACTCCTCCGCCACTTCCTCTGACTCTGGAGTGCTGGGATCACAGGCATGGCTCAGTTCAGGTTCTTCATGAAAAAAATGTTTTTGAGATTTTTTTTTTTAAAAGAGCTTTAAGAAAGCCTTTCTTTAATTAAATTTTTTGTTGTTGTGTTTGTGCTTATGTGCACCATGTGTAAGCAGCTGCCTGTGGAGGTCAGAAGAGGGCGTCAGGTCCTTTGGAGCTGGAGTTACAGATGGCTGCGAGCTGGGAACTAAACCTGGGTTGTCTAAAAAGCTGCCAGTGCTCTGCCCCACTGGGCTGTCTCTCCAGTCCTTCAGGAACATCTTCAGGATCAAGTCAAGTTCACCTTTCTCGCTGATTTTGGACACACCTGTTGTGGAATACCACATAAAGAGCTTCCCCTCTATTCCCCACGTTTTAGCAAATATGAAGAATGTGTTTGGTTTTAGAATACACGATGTTAGCTTTCCTTGTTGACTTGACCCCACCTGGAGTCGCCTGAGAAGAGTGTCACGGAGGGACGGTCTACTGTGATTTGGTCTGCTGGCGTAGCTATGGGGTGTGGCCTTAGTGGAGTTAACTGATGTGGGAAGATCCAGCCCACTGTGGGTGGCACCATTCCCTAGGCAAGGGTACTTGAATTCTACGAGGGTAGGGAAATTGAGCTGAGCACAAGCAAGCGAGCTGACATGCGCTCATTTCTCTCTGCTCTCAACTGTGGGTGTGATGTGACTGTCTGTTTGAGGTTCCCGCCTTGACACTGGCAAAAGGAGTTGAAGCAAACCCCTTCATTCCCTGAGTTCCTTTTCGTCTGGGTATTGTATCATAGCAGCAGAATGAAACTAGAATAGAATATGAAAATATTTTTATTGTGGCTTTCAAAAATAAAACAACAACAACAACAACAAGACCAACCTATTTTGTGCTTTTTGGCTCTTTCCCCACTTAGGTGTGGCTGGCTGCAAGGCCAAGAGAGAATGACAGTGGTGAGGCCAGGCAGGTAGACAGAAGGCAGGGCACCAGAGAAGAAATGAGTCTCTGGGAACCACATGGAAATGGAATACATCTTCTTTGGTGACTGAGTCCCTGGTCTATCCTGTCGCCAGTGACTGAGAAAACTAAGGTTGCTCAGTTCAGCAGGACGGACAATGTGAAAATTAGATACCGGGCTTCCCAACCCTGCGTTTACTAGCTGAGTGACTGTAGGCAGGCCAGTCAACTTCCTGGGCTCGGCATCCTGGTCTGTGAAGTGGAGGAACGAAGGGCTTGGGGATTGATTTAGAAGTGTGTTGAGAACTGCAAAGTGCCGTAGACATGTTGATCAGGATTACAGAAACAATGAAATTGATTGGCTTTCTAAATTTATTATAATAAACTCAGATATAAACTCATTATACTGTGGTTGGGTGCTCCAAGCTTCCCCTTTGCTCTGTGGCTCTAGTTGGGTTTCTTGGCACACAACTGTATCCACAAGGCTAGAAGTCTGGGTTATAGACATATTCTTCATATACCTGAGTGTATATACATTTATAGATAGTTTTTAAAAATCCTCTCCCCACACACTCCAAAATACATTCTGTGCAAAATATTAATCTAGAAGGTCAAACAACCAAGCAACCATCTTTAGCATGCTATAAAAGTCCCTGGCTTACTGGAGAGTCAAATTGACTCACTCAGGATCACATGAGCCCTGGGACAGCATGTTTTCTAGTTCTTTCCACCCGACTTAACAAACGACAGACTCTGGCTAGACTTGCACGCCTCCTTTTTCGTCTCTTTTTCTTGGTCTGTCTTCTGGGTGGCTTTCTTGCCTCCAACCTTCAATGAACAAAAAGAACAAATGCACAAAATTTGTCAATGGACCCCAAATGGCCTATGCATTTTTTTTTAAAATTTACTTTATTTTATTTTTGTATTTTTGAGACAAGATTTCTCTGTAGGTTTGGAGCCTGTCCTGGAGCTAGCTCTCATAGACCAGGCTGGCCTCGAGCTCACAGCGATCTGCCTGCTTCTGCCTCCCGAGTGCTGGAATTAAAGGCATGCGCCACCACCACCTGGTTAAATTTGCCTCATTTCTAATTAAGTGTATGTCTGTATGCTTATGAGCACACGCATACATGTACAGGTGCCTGAGGAGCCCAGAGGCAGCAGATTGCCCCTGGAGCTGGAGTTCCAGGCATTTGTGAGATTCCTGCCATGGGTGCTGGGAATCGAACTCTAGTTCTCTACAAGAGCAGTACGTGCTCTCTACTGATGGACCATCAGTTTCAGACCCTTATGCAGTTTTTGTTTCTGGAACAAAGTAAAATATGTATGCCTACAGATATGAACAAGGGGGTACAATGATTGCACACTGCCATGCTCCCCAAAGATAAGCCTCATGCGTGGGTGCATCCTTGCGGCTCACGGTGTGCAGACTGCTTTCCTTCCTCCTTAGTGACACCGTTTGCTTGAAAATGGGAGTTGTGCGATGGGGCTGCTGCTAGGGTGGAGTTTTCTACTCCTCGGGGTGGGGGGTGTCCCGCATAGCTGTCACAGGACTGAAGGTGTCCCTCTGGCTCTAACGGCTTGGCAAGAGGACAGGCAGACTCTTCAGGAGGCCCTCACTCCTTTCTGAGTCCTTCTCACTCCCTCAGCAGGGGACACCATGGTAGCCACAGGCCTGATGCTGCTCCCAGGTCACAGCCAGGCTTTTTGGATGATGGTGGCTCTAAGGATCAGGGTTAATAGACTCTAGGTGTCGTTCACTTGCTTCCTGTCACGTGACCAGGAAAGAGGTCTGCAGAGGGATGGGGTAGTTAAGTGGACAGTGTGCGCGTTTGTAGTCAAGTCGACACTGTGTGGTGTGTATGTGTGTGTGTGTGTGTTTGTGTGTGCAAACAGCATCCTGTCCTCTCCTTTGGTTCACAGGACACCCATCTCTGTTTCCATCTACACGTCTCCCATTTGTGGGCAGGTCACTACAGCTCCAGAAGCCCTCTTGCACACGACCCTCTATGTTCTGTGGACACCTTGGCCTTTTGAGTTCCTATCTAACAGGATGCACGCTTCCTGCTGTCTCCTTCACATATGACTGCAGGCATTAGTATACACACACACCCAAGGCAAACGGGAGCTGGCTGGTAATGGTGAGTTCCAGCTGTCACTATGCGACACCTCCCCCGACCTTCCACCGACAGCCTCTGTCAGGTGGAGACCAGGCTGTGGGGCCTGTCTTTCTCAGAGACTTTGGAGTCATGCTGGGAAGATTTATTATTTTTTCAACTACATTTTATTTGCTTGGGTATGTAGGCATGTATGTACATGTATGTGTGTGTGTGTTGCATATGTGTACATGCCTTGCATATAGTCAGAGTCCAACCTGCAGGAGTCTGTTGTCTCTACCTTGTGAGTACTGGGGACTAAACTCAGGTCGTGAGGCTTGGTACCAAGTGTCCTAATGTACAGGGGTGTCTCTCCAGTCTCTGAAAACATCTTGACAGGAACGCTATCTCTTCATCCCTTTGTGTTTTAGGACAGCTTTGAAATTACCCTCAGGAGGCCCAGATGAGTGGCAGATGGGAGCCTTATATGTTTGTTTTGTTTCAAATAGTTGTATTGTTTTATGCGTGTGAGCGTTTTGCTTGCAAGGATGTGTGTGCCCCACACGCATGCCTGATACCCGACAAGGTCAGAAGAGGGTGCTGGATGCCCTGGAAATGAAGTTAAGATGTTTGTGAGCCCCCATGTGGGGCTTGGGAATCGAACCCGAATGATCTACAGAGCAACAAGTGCTCTTAACCATGGAGTCAACTCTCCTCCCCTTGTTTTGTTTCCTTGAGACAAGATTTTGCCAGGAAGTGGTGGAGCACACCTGTAATCCTAGCTCTTGGGAGGCAGAGGTAGGGGGATCTCTGTGAGTTCAAGGCCAGCCTGGTCTACAAATCGAGTTCCAGGACAGCCAGGACTATTACATGGAGAAACCCTGTCTTGAGGCCCCTCCCCCCACAAAAATATGTAGTCCAGGTTGGCCTTGAAATGGTAGATAGCCCAAGCTAGCCTTGAATCCCTGATCCTCCTGCTTCTACCTCCCAAGTGTTAGGATTATAGACCTGTGCTACCTACCATACCCGGCCCTTGAATTTGTTCTGAGAGCCTGCATTCAGAATTCATTCAGCGGAGGAAAACCTGTACAGTAGGCCGCTCAGCCACTATTGACCTGACACCCAGGGAGGAAGCAACCAGACAGCAACCAAGATCTGTTCTTCATGCTTCTTTCACTGGGGTTTCAATAAAACTGCCACCTGCAGGTGGTTCCCAAATGTCACTGCTCCAACCTGTTGTGGCACCAGAGCCAGAAAGATGTTTATTAAAAATAGAGTTCCAGGTCCAGGTGGAGCCACCCCCATGTCTGCCAAGAGTGGGGGAGAAGGGACTTTTGGTGTCTATGTGACTTGACGAGGGAAGGGCCAGCAGAAGGCAGGTGTGTTCATGGGCCTGCGCAGAGGGGTAGCTGCCAACTTTGGACCGACTGATGTAAACAGGAAGGAGCAGAGCCCAGCCTGAGATGGCCTCCAGACAGACAGCACCCAGTGTTCAGTCTGCCGTCTTTGGGATCACAGTCCACACCCTAAAGGACAGGACCCAGGCGGCAATAGTGCTGCCCTGGTGGAAATTATACACTGGGTCGGCTTTTTCTGGCAAACCGCAAGGCCAAGCCGTTCCCAAGCAGTCACGGATGCCTTAGCCATCTCCCCACATACCTCTGTGGCCTCCACCTGGGTGGGACCCCTTGAAAGAGGCCCTGGAGCTCTGCCCGCTGACCTTTGCCTTTCCAGCACTTTGACCAAAGTAACTATTAGCCCTTGAATTCGCTTAGCAAAAATAGAGTTCCAAGGCTAAGCCAGGAAGACTTATGAGTGTTCTGATCTGGTTCCCTTGTCAACTCTTCATTCATTATTACCTCTTGCTGACACTGTGGATATCTTTCCCTATGCTCTCTCAGCTATATGAAAATGTCATGTATGGTATTCATGTATGCATATATGTACTATGCATGTGCGTACATGTATATATACACATGTCAGTGCTAAGAAAGTTTGTATTTTAGATCTTTAGATCAGGGATACCCAATCTGTATGTGTGCCTGTGTGCACATGTGTCTTTGTGTGTTTTCATGTATGTGATTTACACATAAAGAATTTATGTCTGCCTTCTTGGAGGTGATATTGCCCCTTTGGGGGATGTACGATTAACCTCCACACCTGCCCTCATTTGCCACATCCTAGGCTCTCTGCTCATATCTGTCATGGGGTGAAACCTGGTGTTCACGCTTCCTACCCCATGCTCAGCAGTATGGTAGCCCAGCCTGGGCAATCAGCAAGGCTCACATAGAAAATTAGAGAAATGTCTACTTTGGCATGTGGCCCACAAGCAATGACAAAAGACTATTGGCTGCAAGGGAAAGTGATGTGAGATTCCCCTCTGTGTGTTGTGAATATGTTTTATTGCCATTGGTTAATAAAAAAATGCTTTCAGTCAATGGCTTAACAGAATAGAGTTAGGTGGGAAAACTAAACTAAATGCTGGGAAAAACTAGGCAGAGAAAAGGAAAAGTCATGTAGCCCTGCCGGAGACAGATGCCAGAGGAAGCTTTACCAGGTAAGCCACAGCCACGTGGTGATATACAGATTAATAAAAATGGGTTAATTTAAGATATAAGAGTAAGCCAGAAATGTGTTTAAGGCATTGGCCAAACAGTATTGCAAATAATATAGTTTCTGCGTGATTATTTTGTAGTCTGGGCAGCTAGGAATGAACAAGCAGCCTCTGCCAACAGGAAAGACAACCAGCCTATGGCATTTTGGAGGGCAGAAGACTAAGGCCATGGGACCTTGGTAAGTTAGGAGGGATCTGTGGGTAGGCAAGCCTGGAAGAGACTTCATAGGCCCTGTCTCTTTACAAGAGGCCAGGCGTGCTAGGGAGGGGGCCTAGCAAAAATGTGCAGGACGCTTGGGTAAAGCTTTCTACACTACTGAGTCCTAGGCCCCAATCCTTAAAGTGATGCCTTCACGACTGGAAAATGAGATCTCTGTGCTCCTAGCAGAAATACACTTTGCCCCATTATCTGCAGCCCAGAGGATGTTTGACATTCCTAGATCTCCATATCAGAGAAACATGATGCTCCTGAACATCCGGGTTCCCTAGACATCTTTGCTTACATCCTCAGACAAAACCTAGCTGCATCTCTCCCATATTTATGGGTGATTGACAAGTTTGCCCTTTACAGCAAACAAAGGTCTCAGATCTAAGGGACCCCCGGGACATTCTCTGTCCTCCCAACATCTATCCCCGTCTAGTTTTGGGGTAAAAATATTGAAGAAGAGACTTTTGGTCTTTAATAATATTTCTTATGGCCGGGTGGTGGTGGTGTACACCTTTAATCCTAGCACTCAGGAAGCAGAGGCAGGTGGATCTCTGTGAGTTTGAGGTCTATAGAGTGAGTTCCAGGACAGTCAGACTTACACAGAGAAACCCTGCCTTAAAAAACAAAACAAAACAAAAAACACAAAAAGGCCTTTATGACCAAGCATGGTTGCATGTGCCTCTATACTAGAAGACAGAGGCAGGCCAGATCTCTGTAAATTCAAGGCTAGCCAGGTATATATAGTGAGTTCTAGGCCAGCCAAAATCACATGGTGAGACCCTGTCTAAAAAACAAATTGTTTATTATACAGAATATATGCTTTTTCCAATGTTAATTTTGTTGTTTTAGAATAATGTAGCCTTTCAGGGACCTGGGGCACAACAAAAGAGGAAGTATGGGGACATGAGAGGGAGAGGGACATCTCATCCGAGGGGCTGAAGCCTCTCACAGTGGAGACACGTGATTCCCTTACTATAAAGACTGCTGACTTAGAGTCAATAGTCCTAACATTAAATAGACATCTAATGTTAAAGCGGTTAAAAGCCCGAGTGTGTCTGACCCAGGGTGGGGCTCACACTTTCCCCAGACATTGCCTGTGACTTTCAAACAAAACTTAACTCTATTAATGGAAGAAAGCCCACCTTCTGCACCCCTGTAGGCTAGACTTTAACTGTGTCGATTGTAATTCTGTTATTTGCCTCTCTGGAATGACCCAGTGATAAGATGGTCAAGTCAACCACCACCCAGATCCTGCACGTTGCACGCAGGGTCAGGAAGCACAGGGAGAACCTTGACTCTTCCCTGAGGAGCCCACACCCACACGTGAGTATCTCTGACCTAACCCTTGTGCTGAAACCTACATGAAACTAAAATCGAAAATCTCCAATTCTGCTTTATAAACTGGCTTGTCTTGAAGTGCTTTGATGCTCTGAATCCTGGTTTAGCCTCAATCGAGATCCCTTGAAGCTCAAGAGAACTCTTCAGGCTGTCGAGGGTGATACTGTGTGTGTGTGTGTGTGTGTGTGTGTGTGTGTTTGAGCACTGAGGCCAGGCCATACGGGGTGGGGGGGTTGCTATACCTCCTTCATCTATACCCCTGAAATGCTGACAGATTTACCTCCCCTTTTGCGTACAGAGGAAGTGCGTCTCTTCCCCAGGCTTCCAAAAGCTTGCCTCTGCTTTCAGCAAGGCAGAGTGTGGATTGGGGCAATTCCAGGAAGGGCTGGATTGCAACTGCGATGGTTTGGTCTATTGAAAATGTCATAGTCTTGATTCTCAGCTCTTAAAAAAGAATATTTTAGGGGGTGTTCTCTCGGAATTGGAGAGAAATGCTTACCGGAACTGTGGTACGTTTACAGGCCTGGAAAACCCAATGTCTCCTCATTAATTGTGTGGCTGGGGACACCTCCGTCTCTGAGCCTCAGACCCTTCCTCTGTGGGTGAGGTTAACCCCCGCCCCAGAGGTGGGGGAGATGCCATGCTGCTGCCGAGTGCTACCTGGTTCTTCTCTTTCCGGCTCACCTGGAACTTGGAGTTTTGCATCTTTCTCTTGACCACCTCTACAAATATGCGTCTCTTTAACACAAAAAGGACAGTGGCAGCATTTAGTATAGACTTGCATTGCCTTCTGCGTCAGGGAGAATGGATTCCTCTCTATTTTAAGATGCTGTTTGTTTGGAATGTTAGGCTTGTTTTTTGGAAGAGGGGCAGGAAGTGACACATTTGCTTGCAGTAGTGGTGGTGGGGTGATGCTTTGGGAGTACAGGGACTCCTGCTTAGCCGGTTGGGGATCTCTGATTAGATTCTTTCTAGGAGGAGACTGGCTGGCTGAGGGCTCTCCCGGAGAACATAGACCCTTTTCAGGGGGCAAAGCTACTTCTGCTGGTGGCAGGGCCGTGCAGTACAGTGGGACAGAGGGCTCCCGGGCACATACGGGCAGGACTAAAGAGACCACAGTGACTGCCCTGCTCTTTAGGGATCGCCTGTTGGGAAGCCACTGCCACCCCAGTCCGGCAGGTTGTTCAGATTCAGAAGTGTTGGCCCTGGTGTCTTCCAGAGCCTACCTGGGGTAATTCCCAGAAGAGAGACACTCTTCAGAGGTTCAGGGGTACCAGAGGGAGGGGGCAAGCTGGGACCTCCTGGTCAGAGGTCAGCAAGTAAACCCAAAGTGCTGTTAGGGACAGGGAGTTCCCAGAAAGCTCTTAACACCCTAAAGATCGCCACATTTAGGGCTCTGGGTGGAAGAAAAAGAAGAGAGATTGGGTGAGCTACGGACCAGGAGCCTGGGTCCTTCCTAATAGGCTGGGAAGGAGGTGGCAGATGGACTTTTGGGCCTCTGTTATTGTCTCACGTTTCTCAGAGAAGCTAGAAATCCAGCATATTGAGACATTACTTAAAAAACACCACCACCGAAACCTCAAAGCAAAATACATCCCATGAGCCAGCTGAAGCACACCTGTGGGCAGCTGTTGGTGACGGCTGCTTCTGGGTCTCCCCACCTTGGCACCAAGCTGGTGTCCAATCAATATTGGTGGACTGCCAGAGAAAACGGGGCCCAAGTCCGCTCCAGCTTCGTAATGAGAGCACATTTCTATGAAAATATATCCCCTCTCCAGAGTTCCGGAGGTACGTAGACTAAATTACTAGTTGTTGTTTATCTGAGTTCAAAAGGCAGAGGGTGTGGCTCTGTAGTAGAGCATGTTCCCAACAGGCTAGCGGCCCTAGGTTCTATCCCCAACACTGCAGAAGAACGCTCCCCATGAAATTCAGCTGTAACTGGGTGTGTTTTACTTTCCCCTCCTACTCTGGCAGCCCCACCAGGCTCTCCCCAAGCCCCACGGAGGGAGGGAGTGGGGGCTGTCTCGTGGGACAGGCAGAGTGAATGCACGTCAGTCTCTTCCCTCTCCAAACAGCTGTCCCCGGAACTCTTTGAGGCCTGAATTTAGCTGGCAGCTGCCCTCTGGGTATTTTGTACTTAGGGGGCCTTGAGCTTGCAGTTGTTCAATATTTATCACGTTGGGGCTGGAGAGATGGCTGTTAGGAGCTCTGACTGCTCTTTAGGGGACATGAGTTTGGCTCTCAGGGTCCCTGTTAGAGGCTTAGGACCAACTGCCTGTAACCCCAGCTCCAAGATATCCCATGCCTTCTGGCCTCTGCAGGCAACTGCACATCTTGGCCCACCACACACATACACACATGAACACACACACTCATGCATGCACGCAGGCACACAGGCACACACGCATGCACACACACACGCTTACGCACACATGCAGGCATGTACACACAAAAACGCATGCACACACACATGCGTGCACACAAACACACATGCATGCACTCACCCCCCATGCACATGCACACACATGCTCACAAATGTATATACACACACACGTCACAAACCTGGCTTAAGGGGCCTAGGCTTGGACAATGACCACTATCCAGAGTCTGTGATATTATAAAGTGGCCATTTAAAACCTTCCCTTTTCTTTCTTTCTTTTTTTAAAGTACTGGGGATGGAACCCAGGACTTTTCATATGTTAGGCAAGGACTCTCCCACCGACCTGCAGCCCCAGCCTTGGTTTGGGTGCCTTTCTCTTTCCTTGTTTTCCTGTTTTCTCCTCTTTCTGCAGCAACCCCTTACCCAATTCAACTCCCACGAGTATGTTGGCGTAGAAAATGTATGTAGTAAAGCCACTATGGCTAATGTGGGGTCGGAGGTGTCAAGCGTCATCCTTCCCATGGAACCCAAGGACTCCGAGGAACCCTAGCTCACTGCTCCGGAATCCGTTTGTGAATGAAGGCCAGCTGGCAGAAAGCCGAGCCCTGAAGGGCAGAGCCTGGGAGCTGGACTCACAGGGGTAGGAGGACATCAAGAGCTGCTCTCAGGTGTGACTCCATGGACGCGGGGATGCTTTTTCACCAAGACTACTCTTGGGGATGTGGTCCATTATGTCACAGGAGACCCCCCACACAGGGGAATACGCTGGATGGTCCTTATTCTGAGGACACTGGGAACCACTCATGTACTGTATTTGGGCATGAGTGTGAACTGGGGACCAAGTGGGATGGATCTCCATTTCCTGGCTGACAGGAAGCCCGGAGTGAGGTGAAAGTTGATGCAGGTGTGAGGGCTGCTGTAGTCGGGGACATTCGTCTCCATTCTGGGTCCCACTTTGTACCCCCCTTGCCCTTCATCCTTAGGATGGAGGTCCTGGGATACCCCACACTCTCCCTTTTTTCTTTTCTCACGACTTTGCTTCCAAATCCCCAGGCCATTCAGTGTCCAAGATGTTTTGTCCCATCAGTCAAAAGTGCCCTGGGTTTTCTTACACTTCGGGACCCTGGGTTAGACACTTGCCTGTCTCCTAGGTCCTCTGTCCAAGGTGCCAGTAGGCAGTGGGCAGGGTGAGGCTGGGAGGGAGGGCGGGGAGGGGTGCCAGTGTCCCTGGGCAGTGTGGGCTGCTGTTCACTGCTGCGGGGCTCTCATTCCTTGCCAGGACGGGCTACTTGGCCCGGGGATGCCTGATCGTGCGGCTTCGCTTCGTACCTGCCTCTCGTTGTCTTTGAAGGGACAGCTGCAGGAGGCGTCTCTTTTCTCTTGAGTCTCGACTCGATCCTGAGTGAAATATCAGGTGAGGGAAAGAGCATTTAGTCCGTCCTGTTCCAGGCTGGGGTATACCTGGGAGGGCGTCTGGGAGATGCTATGGTTCACTGCCCAACGCTCTCAGGAGAGGCACGTGGGAGAGCCTCTTTCTTCAGGCTCTCCTTTCTTCAGCACACTCCATCTATCCTCCACACCACAGGTCTGCAGCTTATGTTCCGGCCTCCATCCTCTGGCTCTCAGTCCATTCCCATCCAATATACCTACTGACTTCTTTCATTTTTATTTCATTTAATTTGTTTATTTATTTAGCGTCCGTATGAGCCATGAGCTCATGTGGCGGTTAGAGAGAGCCTTTACTTAACAAGTCAACCTCACCTGCCCAGCGTCTACTGGTTTCTACTCCTTGGCCACCATGGGACAGAGGCAAAGAGGATCTGGACCATATCTGGGCCCACGTCAATCTTAGAAAGCAGTGAATTAATTAAGCAGAATAAGGAAGATGGCAGTGACCAAAGGTATCACTGGACATCCGACTTGCTCAGGCTTTATGCCCACGCTCTTGTTGAGTTGAACCCCGTGAGCCGTGCGTGCCCTGTTTATATTCTCATCCTGAAGACATGGGAGGAACTGGGGACTCTGGCCTAGCTGAGACTGCTCCTAACAGCAGCGCCGGAGCCCCCTGGCCTGGGGTTTGACAGTCTGGAGCCTGGAAAGGAGGGAAGTTTTCTCCCCTGGCTAAAGCAGCCACTGATAGCAGCTGTTCTCACATTTCCAGACCTGACAAAGCCCGGGAAAGGGCTCACAGGCTTCTCAGAGGGCAGCTCCCGGGTGTTCAAAAGCTTTCTATTGAAAATTCCCATCTGAGCCATTCACGGAAAGTATCTGCTCTTTCTTGGCTGAGGCCCCAGCTGCATTCACCAACTAGAAAAGACCGCTTTACAAAAGGGCTGCCAGCCCTACGGGAGCAGGAAAAGCCTCGGGGTTTGCTGGGCTCTCGGCTGTGCAGGGGGCATTACCAGCCCCCACCGTCTGGAGTTGCCTTTCTCTCCCTGTAGGACTGCTGCCATGTAGCCTTCCCCACTACTCTGCAAAGTGGGTCCTGTTTGCCACTGCTGTAGTTGAGAAGCCAGAGACGTGAGATGGTCACCTACTCGTCACTAGGTCTCAGAGGTGGGCACAGACCCTACTGTTTGACTCCAAAGTTGACCTCTTCATTCTGAGACAGGCGCCTTATCTGGGAATGTGAAAGGAAAACAGAAGAGGACTGAGCACAGCCAGGGGCATTGTCACGGTCCGATTGTCCCACAGAGAGAGCTCTGAGGTCCCAGGCTGCGTGTGTGTCCAGCATCGGGGTTTTCTTAGTGTTTCATTGCACAGCTGAAGGTGTTAGTCTACAGACAGTCAAGCCCCCCCCACTCCCCCGCAGAAAGGCAAACAGTGAATGCTGTCCCTCATTTGTGCTTCCCGAGTTTTTTGGAGACACAGATTATAAAATCGTGTATGTTTATATGACACAAGAGTAGGAGCAAAAATGTCTAGGGGACCAAGGGGCTTGTGGGATTGAGAAGAGGGATTATGAGAGAGAGTGTGTGTGCATAATGTCTAATATATATGTACAGGAGAGTGTCCTCATGTCACCCGGTGCCATGTGCAAGGCCTATATATCAATGAAAAGTCAAGAAAAGAGAAAAAGTGTTTTTTAAAATACATTGGTGTATGCATATACATGTGTGCGTGCGTGTGTGTATGCGTGTGCGTATGCACATTTCTCTGTGTATGTGTGTGTCTGTGCATGTGTACGTCTCTGTGTCTGTGTCTGTTGTGTGTGCGTTTATGTGTCTGTCTGTCTATTGTGGAGCAGCGTGGTTCTGAAGCTCCAGATGGGAAGTTTCCCTCCCCCGGGCCCAACCAGTCCATCTTTATGATATTACAAAAGAGACTTTGAAAAATATTAAGCCTCCTTAAGAAAAAAAAATTAGATGTAAAAATTTTCTTAAAATATTAATTTTCCTTTAAGACCCCTTCCCTTAAAAAACAGGGTTTCACCAGGTGGCCTCAGACCCTCAGGGAACACCTGCCCTGCCTCCTGAGTGTGGGATGAGAGGGGTGTGTCATCACACTTCATTCTTCTTTAAGTGAAAATATACTCCTAAGATAAACAGATGATTTAGAATTTCTTTTCCCTTAGCAAACAAGAGTCTCTGACAATACATAGAGACACAGGCCTTTTATGACAAGCAGCGCCCTAGAGTAACACCCCCACTACCCTGGCAATCAGGGGAGTGTAGAGGTCACAGGGGCGGTGAGGCCGAGGGTGTGGTGGGGGTTCTGTTCTGTTGCTGGGCTGCCTAGCATTGCGGCCCTTTGTCAGTCTCCTCTGAGCCTGCCGCCCCAGGATGAGCCCCTTGCAAGCTGCGGAATGCAGCAGGTGCAGGATGGAGTAAGCGCGCCCAGCAGCAGGCACACGTGACCCTGGGTGGAGCGTGACATTTATCAGCACGATGTGGCCGTGCTGCAGGCTGCAGCTCCATCTATCTCTCCAGACTGTAAAACCCGAGAATTCCAAGCCCTAGCTCTGCAGGGACCCCTGCTGCAGGTTCAACTGGACCGGTTCAGGTCACCCACGCAGGATGTCTGGTGCCAACCGGCTGGTCGGCTGCATTGTGTATGAAGGAGGCAGCTCATGAATAATGCATGTGACACTGATTATGCAAATCTCCAAGTTCTTAGATTTTCAGCCAGCACACCACAATGGGCTGATGGGGGGCCCTCTGAGGTCCTGTTCTGTGGTTTTGGGTCTGATCTCGAGGACCTGGGCTGCCAAGTCTCAGGGGGCACCTTGGGAAGAAGTGGGCTCCCTGGCAAGTTCAGCTTCTTATCATTGCTTTAGCTGTCCTGGCATGGCTCAGTGTAAAAGGCCCCTGTGATCTGCCTAGGGTAGCCCCTGACACACACATGTGGAGGCTTGTGATGTTTAATTCAAAAGGATGAGTGTGCAAGCAGTGTTTGGAATTGCTTTCTCTGCTGGGCAGGGTTGGGCTTCTCCAGTGACTCTGCCCCCTGGTAGAGCTTCCTGGATGGGGAGGGGCATCTTCTTTTGATGTCCTGGCCTCCTCAGAGCTCACCCACACCCTACAGTGTCACATGTTGATGTACACAGAAGAGTCATGTGTATGTCTATGCCAACACAGACACATACACTGTTACAGTCACACATACACAGATATACAAGCATGTCCATTGTCATGAATATTTGCATACTTGCACATAATCATATACATGTAAACACTCATATATATATATGTATATATACGTGTGTGTGTGTGTACACATGTGCACCCGCACATAAACATGCAGCTCCAAAGTTGAAAGGGGAATCCTGGGGGACAGCCCAGCATACAGTACAGGAATCAGGGGAGACGCCTGGGGCCATGGTGTAGCCCTATATACCAGCCACTGTGTGAACCTGGGCCAACCTTTCAACCGTCTCTTTTTACTGTTTTTTTTCTTTTAGAAAGGGGCTCATCTCATGTGGCTCAGGTGGGCCCCAAATACGGCTATGTACTCTTAACTCTCCTGTCTCTCCTCCTGAGTCTGGGCTCAGAGGCAGGAATCACCACACCCGATTTATGCAGTGTGTGTGTAGGGGGTGGATCTGACCCAGGGCTTTGTGAATGTATACTCGGCAAGTACTCAACCAACTGAGCTACGTCCCATCCCCAGCCCCGGTCTCTCAACCCATCAAGGCACCATTTCTTCATCTGGAAAAAAAAAAAATCAGGGCCATGGCCCTCACCAGGAAGGCCCTTTGATGACGCTAGTATATGGCCATGGCTGTAAAGTGCAGACAGAGCCCTGGCCCTGTCCTAGCAAGAGCTGAGGGGGCTGCTGAGGTAGTGCAGAGGGTGAAGGTGTCTACTGCCAAGCCTGACAACCTGAGTTTGATCCCCAGGACCCACACGGTAGAGGGAAAGCACTGGCTCCTGAAAATTGTCCTCTGACACCCACATGTGCACTGTAGCACATGCACGTCCATGCACAGACAATGAAATAAACAGATGCAGTTAAAAACAGCACCGCCAGATGCTGGGGACTGGCGAGGTTAAGAACCTGCCATCTCAAAGCAGGTGGTGGAGAGCGGAGTGCTGAGCCCAAGTAGGTTTGTTGGTTGGAAAAGCTATCCTGCCACCTTCTGCACTGTGGGGGTCTTCCTGGAATTGTTATAGCATTTCCTTTTTCTTTTTGAGGCACAGTTTTCTGGGTAGCCCTGGCTATCCTGGAACTCACTCTGTAGACCAGGCTGGCCTTGAACTCACAGAGATCCTCAGGCGTGCGCTCCCACTCCCAGCTGTCCTTTCTAAGGGGCCAAATGGCTCACCTTCTGCTGCCTGAAGGCCCTGTTGAGCCTCCTTTCCTGGTACAGCTGCTGCTCTGTGCGCTCCAGGGCCTCCTTCAGCAGCGCCTTCTCCTCGGCTTCTTTGTAGACGTCATCTTCCAGCTTTGCCACCTGTGCCTGGTACATCTGGATGGACACTTTGCTCTGCCTGGGTGCATGGACGGACAGAGTGCCGTTTCCCCTCACCGTCCGCACTCGCCATCAAGGTCCCAGCCTCTCTAGATCCTTCCGTATGGAGCTGACTTCTGAGACCGTGACCAAGACTTGGGGAGGAGAGTGCAGAACACACTAGACATGGACAGCATTGAATGACTCAAGATGGTCGGCCTTTCCAATGCTCTAGGGTGCGGGTGGGGACCTGCAAGTCTGTGTGAAATCAAGGTTCGTGTGTGTATGTGAATGTGGGCACGCATGTGTGGAAGCTGGAGGATAAACTCAGGTATGGGCCCTTGCCTTGTTGAAGGCAGGATCTCTCTGCTGCTTTTCTGTATACCAGAACAACGAACCCCATTTCTGCCTCCCATCCTCCCAAAGGAACACAAGAACTATAGACACCTCTGCTACTGTCCATACGTGGATCCTGGGGATTCAAACTCAGTTCCTTACCATTGTGGGACAAGTGCTTTTGCCTATAGAACCATCTCAAGACTTTTGCTATCTTGAGACAGGGTCGCATGCTACCCAGGTTTGCTTTGAACTTTTTGTGTAGCAGACGATGGTCTTGAACTCCTGATCCTCCTGCCTCTACCTCCTGAGTGCTGGGATTATAGAGGTGAGTCAAGTTTTATGCACTGCTGGGGATGGAACCCAGGGCTTAACGCCTGCTAGGCTCCAGCAGGTCATGTTCCCCAACTGGTGTTTTCCCTTACTCTGCACCCTGGCCTCTGACTTGTCCCAGCCTAGCAGCGCACGTTGCTGTCCATGCTGAGGCAGGGACCACGTGCAGTGGCGGTACCTGAGTTGCTCCAGTTCCCGCTCGCATTCTCGCAGGAGTTCCTCTTTCCGCTGAAGCCGGGTCTTGAGCTGAGTGATCTTATCAAACACCAGATCCAGGTCCTTCTGCCGGAGGTGGTTGATCCTCTCACGCTCTTTGGGCGAGAGGTGCTTCAAGTTCACGTGGCCGGACATGTCCTTGATGTCCATCAGGCTGCCGAGCGTCTTGCTCATACCCATGTACTGCAAGGAGATGGGGTGCTGGTGAGGGCAGCGCTAGGGGCGGCCTGGAGGCCGTCGGGAGGCTGGCGTCGACTCTAGCGCATTCTTTGCAGCAAACGGAGGAAGCAAATCAGTATGTTGGAAGTGACCGCAGTCAGGTCTTGCATTCCCCCCACAGCCATGTACAATAAGTCCTTTCCGGAATGGATGGAGATTGACAACAGACTTTAACACTCATTCTAATGATGGAGCTTTCAAGGAATTGGGCTATGTGTTGATTCCTGACCCATGCAGCGTAGCAGCCGGGTCTGGCCGAGTTATTAGAACGGCTCAATAAGACTCAGGGGTTGATACTTAGTAAAAGGCCCTGTGGTTAATGGTGATGACATGTGGGGACCCGTGCTGGGCAGAAAGAAAGGGGAAGGGAAGGGATGGCGCGTGCACACACCAGCTTCTCACTGAGCTCCAAGGCTTCTGCGGCATCTGTTTTCATGGACTTCTCGACGGCCAAGTTGGACGTTGAGCTGAAAAGGCCATTCTGAGGCTGAAATGAAAGAGAAACGAACACGCCCTTGGCGGTCTGTCGGTGTCAGCCATGGGGAAGCCAGGACTCTGTGTGACTGTGGAAGAGGGGGTCCCACAGGTTTCTTATCTCTACTCCTGACCCTCTGGACGGAATTATTGGTCATTGGCTTTGTTATATGTCTGTCGGCTCCTCCTCTGATGGCTTCCCTCTAGAACAGCGTCTCTCGGCCAGGTTAAGTTTGCACCCCAGTCTAGAATAGTGTCTCTCAGCCAACTTAAGTTTGCACCCCACTTTCCCCGGTTGTTAGTGATGTCTGGGCTCATCTGAAGAGGGCAAGTGCTCCTGGCCATCCAATGGGAGGATGATGAGGTTGCCACTGAACCAGACAGTCCCCAATCAAACTGGCCTGGAGTCATCTGACCCTAGATATGGTGTGCGTGTGGAGACGGAGGCCAGTGGCCAACCTCACGTGCCATTTCTCAGGAGCTGTCCACCCTCCATCTTGTTCTCTGATACAATGTCTCTCACCAGGTCCTGAGGCTTGCTGATCCCCAGAAATCCTTCCGTCTTCACTTCTCCAGCACTGGGATTTCAAGAGCACATTACAGTGCTCAGCTCTTTTCCTTTTTTGGAGATAGGGTTTCACCGTGTACCTCTGCTAGTCTGGATTCACTCTGTAGACCAGCCTGGCCTCGAACTCACAGAGGTCCGCCTGCCTCTGCCTCGCAAGTGCTGGGATTAAAGGTATGCACCACCATGCTCCCCCCTCCCCTTTTTAATGTGGGTTCTGGGGATCAGACTCAAGTCGCCATATTTGTGTGGCAATTACTTTACCAACTAAGGTGTCGCAGCCCTTGACCCCAAATAATTGTGTCAATGTTGAAAAGCCCCGGCCTTGGTGACAAGCTTCATAGAATGGGGACCATGCTGCTGTCTGTGTGTACCCCACTCCTGTGCCTAGCATGGCAGTCACTGGTCACACGGTGGCACAAGATGTGCCTGAGGGATGACTGACGGCCACACAGGAACACCGTGTTCTCCTCTTGTTAGAAGAACCTCATTTTCACACAATAGAAACGAGTCCTTCAGAAGATGTGGCCCCAGTGTTCTCCGGGTGGGTGAGGCTCCCTTGGACTATTCCCTGAGATGATGTGGGCTGGGTCATCCAGCTGTGCGCTTGCTATGCCCCGCATCAGCCAGCTGGCCTCTGGAAGCTCCGACTGGAAGCATGGGACAGAAACCAGGCCAGGCAGAGAATGGGGAGAGCCTTGAGCAACTGTGGCACACACACCTCGTCAGGACCCAGGTGGAGCCTAGCATTCAGTAGGCACATCATGGGCATCTTGGTTGGCCCTTAGCATCTGCAGGTGCTGCCAAGTGACCCCTGGAGATCAAAATAGCACCCCCCAAAAAACCCTGGTCATAAAACTAGAAAGGCTTGACAGTGGTAACTGTGGCTTGACAATTGGTAAGAGGAGACATGGTGATATATTGAAATAAGAAAAGATTGTGTGTGTGTGTGTGTGTTGTACACATACATGTGATGTGTGTGTTGTGCACATGCATATGGTGTGTGTATATGTGAACACATGAATGATGTATGTATAACCCATGTGTGTGTGTGGAGGCCAGAGGAGGTTGGGTGTCCTGTTCTGTCACTCTTTGCCTTACTCCCTTGAGACAGGATCTCTCACTGAACTAGGCTGGCAAGCCCCAGTGGTCCCCCTCTCTCCAGCTCCCATAATGCTGGACTTAGAGGTAGGTGTGTGGCCACACCCCACTTTTTCCATGGGCACTGGGGATTTGAACTCAGATCCTTATGTTTGAAGAGCAAATGCTCTTACCCATTGAGCCATCTCCCCAGCCCTCACGGCTTTGCAGATGACAGTAAACTGAGCAGAGTCCTCTCCACCCCTCTCTGGGACCCGCCCCCTTTCCATCCTTCTCTGCAGATTGACAGAGTGCCAGAGCAAGACAGCCAGGGACAGAGGACAGGCTCCATCCTTCTGTATCTCTGCGACCTTGGATGAGGCACTTGGCTTCTGAAACCCTGATTCTTCGTCTGCAAAATAGGGACAGCGGAAAGGCGACAGCCCAGCTGTCACCGAGCATCTGAAGGGTGCAGCTCAGGCTCAGCACACAGCAAGCGCTCCATCCATGCGGGCTTTTCTTCCTTCCTACTCCTCTTAGAATTCCAATTGCTTCCAACCTTGGAGGATCGGGGCTTTGAAAACCAGATTTGGGACGTCCCCTGCTGTGTACTGGCAGTGGGGGGTCATCCACAAGGGGACCAGCCTGTCTGGGAAGCAGAGTCAGGCCATGAGATCTAGCTGACCTGCCATCTGGAAGCTGTCCCTCCACACCCAACCCTGGAGACGGGGTGTGCGATTTTTTTATTAAGGAAACTAGCTCACTTCAAATACATTCACATCCAATGCTGGTAAATGCCCAGAAAGAGAATTAGACAGGATACTGGTTCAGATAGGATAGCTCTGGTGTTCATTTTAGACTCGTCCATTTGCTTTATTCTGTGTGTCAGCCAGTATGTCGTTGGTGGGTCCTGAGATTGACACTGACCTGAGCTGTCCATTGTCATGTGTCCATCAGCTACTTAGTCTAACATCCTTTAGGTTGTAAGGTCACTTTTAATGTCACAACCACTCCCAAGGATCTTGTTATCTAAGGTCCCACTCCTTCCTTGGATGGTATTATTTAGGAATAACAGCTACCGATTATTTAGTATAAATTCTGAGTCAGGCTCTGGCCAAAGCATCTGTAGAGTTACCTTGATTTTTGCTGTTGTTGAGATGGCCATAAGTAGCCTTGGTAGACCTGAAATTTAGCATGTCTTCAAGCATGACCTGTACCCCTGATATTCCTGCCTGTATCCTGAGTCCCAGGACTGCAGGTGTGTGTGTCGCCACACCTGGCCCTCCTTTCAGGGTTTCACCAAAGCCTTGCTGGGGGACACACAGCATTCAGGCTGGACCCCATCACAGGACCCCCTGGCTCTCCCATCCCAGTGTCCTTCCGCTCGTGTGTGTTCACATCTTCGGGTTACAGGGAACAGCAGACTTTGACAAACTCATGGCATAGTCTCATGAATCAGCCTGTTGGACATCTTCCGCAGGATGTCACATCTCATGGGAAAAGGAGGAGCCCTTTGTGCTTCAAGGATCAGTGTGACTCAGGGTCAAAGCAGTGGCAGACTGCACCGTGCAGATGGAGGCCACTGTCTGTACCAATATCCAATGACTCACGGGCGGGTGTATGTAGACAGAGACCTGCTTATCAGGGAGGCCCTGGCCCTGAACCTTCAACACACTGGCCTGCGGCTCAGCTCACATCAGCCCTAATGCCCACCCTCTCATGTCAGTCACTGCAGAGATAAGCGATTTTTGGTTACCGATCGGATCTCTGTTCTTGAGAGAGTTGTCAAGTCAGGCTTTGCGTCTAATAATATTTTCTGTACATTTTTTTCCATCCTGAGAGTCTTTAGTTCTAGGAATGATTCATTCGCGTGGTCCTTATGATCTACAAAAGAAATAATTTAGACTCAGGAAGACATCATTGCACATCATCGCTGTAGCTATGGCTTATGGGACAACTTACCACAGGACCGTTTTTAATCCTTACGACCTCTCTGGCAGATGAGGAAACCAAGGCCTAGAGAAATTAAATGATTTGCCCAAGGCCACACACTGAGTATGAGGCTTTGGCCCCCAAGCTGTCCCTGCAGAGGTGAACGTCACCGAAGGCCTTTCAGGTGCAGAGATGAGGATGGGATTTGTACTGGCACACCTGGTGCTCAGTGCCTTGCTTGGCCACCAGCTGTCCATTCTGAGCCAATGCCAGCCTTTCTGAATGAGGTACTCTAAGAGGCACCCTGGGGCTCATCTTCAGGTAGCTTTAGACTATGACAAAGTTCCCACCAGGCCACAGCGAAATGAGGAGGACGACAGTGAGCTTTTCTTGTCCTATTTATTTGACATTAGGGCCTGCACTTGACTCTGAGGCGGGGCCTGGCCCGTCGCTGTTAGTGTTATAATGTCCTTCTGATCACGAGATGATGGGGGGGGGCATCCTGACCAATCAGTCAGTCCCCAAGGTGCTCACCAGGCTCTGGGGCCCCCGAGCTGGGACTAAGGAGCGGAGAACTTACTGCAGGAGTTGGCCTTCTCCAGCTCTTTGATTCGTATCCGGAGTTCCGACAAGGCCTTTCTCTGCCGCTGGATGACTTCCTCGTGTCGAGACCCTTTGCACTTGGCCCCCAGGTCGCTGAAGGACTGCTCCTGGAGACAGGGTGGCACAGTCAGCAGCTCCGTGAGGGTCCAGGTATTTCCCTCAGATTCCCGGGGACATGAACTGTTCCTGTTCAGTGGGGACCCTGCCACTCAGCACTTCTGGAAAATACCATGAGAGCTTCAGCAGGGAAGGGATTTACATTTTTCATGGCAAATATCAAGTCCCGTGTAGGAGGATTTCTGACTCCTCTTCCTACTTAGTGGTACTATAAATAAAACACCCCCTAGACTCCGTCTCTGTAGCCCGTATTTCCTTCTTCTAATGGTCTTTCATGCCTGTGGCTCCATTTCTTTTCTTTCCTTTCTTAATTTTTTTTGAGACAGGGTCTCTCTACATAGTCCTGGCTATCCTGGGACTTACTAAGTAAACCAGGCTGGCCTTGAGCTCAGAGCTCAACCAGCCTCCCGAGTGCTGGGATTAAAGATGTGTGTCACCCCACCCAGCTTTGGGTTTCTGTTTGTTAAAAATCTGATCTTGTTCTGAATAGTAACTTTTTTTTCCCACCTGAGACAGTGTTTCTCTGTTTCTCTGGCTATCCTGGAACTTACTATGTAGATCAGGCTGGCCTTGAACTCACAGAGATCCACCTGCCTCTGCCTCCCTGAGTGCTGGGATTAAGGGTATGTGACCCAATAATAACTTTTTTAAAAGAATTATTGTTTAAAATTTTGTGTGTGTGTGTGTGTGTGTGTGTGCATATGCACATGTGTGCATATGCAGGTACTTGTGCAAGCCAGAGAAGGTGTCAGGTCCCAAGGAGGTGGGGTGGCAGGTGGTTGTGACCTGCCTGATGTAGGTGCTGCCAACAGAATTCAAGTCCTGTTCAAGAGCCACATGTGAACTTAACTGCTGAGCCGTCTCTCCAGCCCCTCCAGTTCTGCTTCTGTGGGGTGGGGTGCATTTTTACTGTTTTCTTTCCCTGTTTTCTCTTCTGTGTTGCTGAAGATGGAACCCAGGTCTCAAGCACAATAAGCCCCCGCTTTCTTGCTCAGTTGTATGCCCAGCCCCAGAAGGGCATTATAGCTGAGACCTGGTGAGGTTTCCTTTTACACTGGTTACAAGGATGGTTTTCTCCTGTCTGCTTGGGGGCACTGGACAGCCTGGACTTGGCTGTTCTGGAGAGACCCGTCTCTGAGACTCCAGGATCTCTAGATCCTGTGGCAGGTACAACAGGACGTTCTATAACACTAGAACGTTCCATGCCTGCCTCGCACAGTATGGTAGCTGCTGGCCACATGTGGGTCCCATGGGACCGTTAGAGACTAGACTGAGGCTTCCTCAGGGCACAGACAAGGAAGGTCATTGAAGGTCATGCTCCGAGGACACGCACCCCAGTAAGGCAGAGTGCTTATCTAGTGGACACGAAACCCTGAGTTCCACCCCCAGCACTGCACACATTGGGTGAGATGGCACTCGCCTGTGATCCCAGCACTTGGGAGGTGGATGGAGAAGGATTAGAAGTCCTTCCTGGCTACAGAGTGAGTTTGAGGCCAGGCTGGGTTACCTGAGACCCTGTCTCTGTTCTCTAGTGGATCATTCATTCACTCCGTGCGCACCTCGGACTGCTAGGCTCGCGCTAGTGAGTGGCGCTGGCAAGTCCCCACTGTCCTGGATTTTGTACCCCAGGATGAGGGGACAGACAGTGGGTAGGGGAGTACATAGGGAGAGACATAGTGGGCAGGGGAAAATGATAAGCGGATAATTAAGTGGGGAGGAGGCTGGGATGGGGTGCTGAGAGCGGATTTCTGTTGTCTGACAGTTGCTAGGGGGAGGCCTCAGCCAAACTGGCAAGGAAGGGAATAAAAAACCAACGATCTCTTTTTTATAACTATTTTTAAAATAGCAACTTTTGGTTCATTTTAGATTACAGAGATAGATACCAAAGACAAATATATAGCACGAGGTGAACTGAAATTATGAAAATTTTATATAGATAGGCATCTCTGTCTCTATTCCTTTTTTTTTTTTTGAAATTTTTCCTTTTTAAATTTTCCTTTGAGACAAGATCTCACATAGCCCAGGTTGCCCTCAAACTGTCTATGTAGACATATGCATATATATGTATATGGTCCTATGTGTGACCTTGAACTCCTGGTCCTCTTGTCTCCACCTCCTGAGCGCTGGGATTTCAGGCCTGTGCTGCTGTGCTCAGTTTGTGTGGTACTAAGGGGTGAGCGCGAGGCTCTGTGTGCCCCACAAGCACCCTACCAACTGAGCCACATGCCCAGCCGTCTCTGTTTCTAGGTATGTATACGCACGTGTCTATCAATCCGTTACCAGCTACCCATATTCTCATTCATATTCATTGCCCTCCCTCCCCCTCCCCTGTGCGAGATGCTATTCCAGGCACCTCCATCAAAGACCCAGGCTGAGCCCTCCCGTGGATCTGAACTCTGTGCACCAGACAGATGATGCGCAGTTCAGCTTTGCACACACCCTAGCATCAGAGAGAGAGAGACTCCACCCATAGACAGAACAGAGGCCAGGGAAAGAGAAGCATTTGCTCTTCCTCCGCTGACTCTCGTTGCTTCCTTAAGGCCAATAGGATGATGGGTCCCAGGCTCCCTGCTAGTCACACCGGCTCCCTGTGTGTGTGTGGGGGGGCAGGAGGGTATTCAAGGCCCACAGCCTCCTTCAAGGGGCTCAGCAATGCTGTCTGAGGCCTCGTGGAAATGCCCCCCTCTCCTTGATGTTTCTGACACTCACACTCTTTCTTCCTTTTGGCTCTGCTCTAAATTTCCCCCTGTGGGAGCCTCTAACCAGCAGCTCTGAGAGAACCTGTGTCTTATGACGCTCTTAGCTACCGTTCTGGTCAGGGTTTTTGTTTTGTTTTGCTTTTGTCCCCGGGACTCATCTGGGAAGAGGGAACCTCAGTTGAGAAAATGTCTCTATCAGATTGGGCAGATTGATGTGGGAGGACTCAGTCCATTTTGGGTCGTGCTACCCCTGGGCAGGTGGTCCCCGGCTGTATAAGAAGGCGGGGAGATGGGCTGGAGAGATGGCTCAGCAGTTAAGAGCACCAGCTGCTCTTCCGGAGGACCCAGGTTCAATTCCCAGCACCCACATGGCAGCTCCCAGCTGTCTGCAACTCCTGTTTCAGGGGGATTTCATGCGCTCATACGGACATACCTGCAGGCAAAACATCAATGTACATAAAATAAAAATAAATAAATTAAAAAAAAAAAAAGAAAGCAGGGTGAGCAAGCCAGTAAGCAGCACTCCTCCATGGCCTCTGCTTTACTCCCAGCCCCCAGGGTCCTGCGTGCCCTGACTTCTTCTGTAATGAACTGGAAGCTGTAAGATAAATGAGCCCTTTCCTCTCTAAGCTGTTTTTGGTCAGAGTCTTTATCACAGCGATAGGGAACTAATTAGGACCGTCTCAAGTCCTGCCCTAACGGCTCCTCAAGCTGCTTCCCCGCGCCCCCCCCCCCCCAGGATGGTGTGTTCTATACTAGCTACTTTCTTTCTGTTTCCTCCCTTCCCACACACAGGCTCCATGAGGGCAAAGCACACCTCCCTCAGAGACGGTGGTCCTCTCTGTCCTGAGCATGCGCTGACCGTGTGCACAGTCTGGAAGGAGTGAGCAGCCTTCCCCGGCTTCTGATAGTGCTGGGACTGCCGGGTAGGTGAGGGGACCTAACTAGTCTGGTATATTGCCCCAAAGCTGTCCCACCTCTGGGCTTGGTTCTGCACGGGTCCCAATCATCTGCCTGAGGGCATCTGTTTCTCCTGGAAGGAGTCACCTGAAGGCTCCCTCCTTCTGGACAGAAGCGGGGAGATGCTGCACTGGGGCAGTAGGAAGGGCTCAGCAGCCAGGCCACAATTCCCCTAGGCTTCCACGTGCTGGGAGAGGAAGCACCATCACCATGTGACCTCTCCTCAGGCTCCTCTGGGAACTCTCTTACTGAGGGAGGACACGGATTCTTTCTCATACAACTCTTGAGCCCTCTGACCCTCTCTGGCTTCGGAAATAGGAAGTAGCCTGGGCAAGGATCACTGTTCCAAGAAGGGATGCTTTTTGCCTTTGATCTTGCATCCTTCCTACACCTCCCCCGCCATGAGCCTCAGCTTGGAGACAGACACTAAAAGTCACCATTCAACAGGACCCCCATGGAACACATGTGGGGGGGATGTTGGGGAGGGTGAGTGTGTGTAGGGCACCTGTGAACCGTTTTCTGTCTAGCATAAGGCCTGATCCAAAGTAGGTGCTCAATAGTGGCTGTGGGTCAGAGCCTGCTTCTAGGGCTCAGGATTCCAACGGGAGTGATGGACATTTTCTGCCACCCAGCTGAGTTTCCAGCCACCTGGGCCGTTGCACTCCTCCTCCTGGTTGCCCTGAGCAACCGGAGCCCCTTCTATTAAAGTGCTGTGAAGGGCACTCAGTGCCAGGGACAGCTGGCTGGACCTCAAACGCTTTCATCCTGGCTGCCTGAAGCCTGGGCTCACTGCTGTCTGGCAGGGGTAATGTCTTTGTTGACATATTTGGCCTTGTTTCTTTGCAGATGACTCATGCTCTGGTTTCTCAAAGTGGAAAGAAAAGGTTGTTCTGGACTGGACTCTAGGAATCGGAGGCCTCGAGGAACCGCTGCACCCACAGTGAGCCTACTAAGAACGATGGCGAAGGCAACGGCACAGGCATGAGGCAGAGGGTGAACATCAGCTTTGGGGACCTTCTGATGGAGGCTGTTGTCACTCAGACATGCTTCCCACTGAATGAGCATCTGGGACTTCTGGGCAGTCACAGTGACTACCATGGTATGCATTTGGTTCTGTGCCACACAGTTTAGGAAGCCCCTTGGCCACAGCAGGTTCACAGCCAGGCGTGAGTTCTACACAGAGGCAACTTACACTAACTACAGCACCGGGTTAAGGGAGACACAGCTGAACTCTCCACCACCTGGGGACTGAGTGGATAAAAGAGACACAAAATAGAATTCCCCAAATAGTAACCCCAAAGTTGATGGGGATGGTGGGGGGGTATGGAAATAGGAGAACACTGTGGTTTGCTCACCAGCCAGCCCTGCATGAAAAATAAAATGGTACATACCCGGTTGGGCAAGGTACCCTGTCTCAGGGTGATAAGACAGTTTGGGCCAGAGAGCTTACAGCCAGTGTCCTCCTTCGGTGTCCGCACGTGCATAACACACACACACACACACACACACACACACACACACACACGAGCGAGAGGAACAAATTGAAGAATTAGCAGAAAATTTTCTACCAGATGTGTTTGTAGGTGTGCATAAATAAAATGTATTCCCAACCACCCTTTGGAGTGGGACTCATATTCTCAAAGGCGAGAACTGGGGTGCTGTGATTTCCCCATTGGCAAGGACTTCCTATGCGTGGAGGGGTTGGCATTCAAGCCCAGGCCAACTTGCTCCAAGGCGGATAGCCGACCACTACCCCACCACTACCCCACCGTGATTGTAGGAAGACCTGGCAGCTTCAGAAGAGAGAGCTGCTGGCCCTGTCTCCGTTGTTGATAGTGTAACCATGGAGACTGTGACCATGGGGCAGCACTCTGTCTGGCTTTGCCATTCCATGCGAATGAGCAATACTTTTAGGGGCCATTAACCCTTGTGCCTTTGGCTGTCACCAACCCAGTCCTGCCTGGAGCCCCAGCTCTAGACACTGACCTCTTGGAAACAGGAGAATGTATCTTGGTGCACTGGTTCTATCTGTAGGGAGATGTCACACTTGGGGGTAGGATTCCTCGGCTTCTGCTCCGTGCTCGGGTGGGGTCTATGGGAAGCCCTGGGATAGAGAGGGACATCACGGGTGTCAGAAAACTCAGGGACCTTTGTATCCCTCCGTGACCTGGAGGTAAAAGCTATCTTCATAGGTGACTGAATTCTTTCAGACTTCCCTGCATTTAAGCTGAGCCCTGCTGCCCGGGAGAACGCCCAGTCCAGCACACAGCGCAGCCCTGTTTTAATGAATAGGTCTCCACCACTCCTTCACCATTCCTTCACCCCTCCGATTCCACCACCATCTGCCGAGCCCTCTCTCTGTGCCAGGCGCCTTGGGGTGGTCATGCCACAGGGACCCTTCCCACACCTGAGCGCCTCCCTGAGGACCTTCAGTTCCCTGTCTTTCTTCTCCACCAGGCCGTTTGTCTGTGCCACCTTCGCTTTAAGCATCCTCAGTTCGTTGTTCTGCTGTTGAACCAGGGCCACGTGTCGCTCCAGCTCCATCTTCTGCTTCTCACTTAGCTCCCCTGTGGTGACAGATGTGGAGTGGTGAGCGGTTTTCCACCTCCGATCTCTGTCCTGGCCTATCTGACAGCCCTATGAGATAAATTCGTGAGGCAGATCTGCCCCAGGGTTCTCGGGGGGCTTGGGTGCCACCTAGGAGCTCTGCCAGAGCCTCGGCATGGGGTGGCACAGGAAGCCCCCTGCTTCTGCCTCACTCTAGTGTTACACCAGCAGTCGCTGGGAGGGCCCTGACCATGTCCCCCTGATCTTTTAGGGCATTCTGGCCAGTGTTCAGCTACCTGCTTCCGAGGCTTTTTGTTTATTCTTTTGTTTTCAGACAGGGTCTCCAGCTCTTTATATAGTCAACAACGACCTTAAACTTCCAATCTTCCCGACTCCACCTCCTCAGTGCCGGGATCACAGGTGTGTGACACCAACCTCACTGTCATTTAGAGTGGGACTTGAACCTGGGGCCTCCTGGAGGCTCCACACACCCAGCTGCCCCTGTGTCTCTTTTGCCCAGGGCTCTTCTTGGCCCCTGGAATCTTCTGGGCTATGTGCCTTCCAGGTACAACAGTGTTCCATCCACAGCTCTCTCTGGCAGAATTATTTCTGGGTACCTTGGTGCCCCCTTGATGGACAGACAGCCTACTGTACTTCATTTTCTTTTCCTCTGGCTCACGCTCTGTTTCACTGCGGCATTTACTGGGGTTACTGGGGTTATGTAGTGAAATTCCAGTCTTAGGGTCCATTGCTGAGAGAATCCACACTTAGACCTTTGCATGGCCTTAAATCTTCCATGGCAGGTTACTGGTGGCACCCTCATTTCACAGATTCAGACACTGAGCCTCAGAGAGGTAGAGTCTCGTCTAAAGTTAAGGACCTAATGGTGGCCAAGTTCAGGACTTGGGTCCTGACTCACTGTATCTTGTGTTATTACTCTCCTTCCTATTGGAAAGCCATGGGAATGGTCTCAGGGAGCAAATAGGCCTGAGGGTTTGGGGGATGTCAGAGGCTGGTGATGGGTGAGACAGTCTCCCCTCCTCTCTCCCTCCATCCCTTCTTCTCTCCCTTTTCCCACCTTCCACTTCTGGAATCTAGTTTTGCTACCTCTCGACTCCTAAATACCTGAACTTTTTGTCCTGCCAGAGGCTGGGGATGGGAAGAAGGAGGCCGTGAGAAGCAAGAGGAAGGATGGAGAAACGTAAGGAGTGGGAGGGACTGAGCCAGGCTGTGTGTCCACGCAGGAAGGTGCGTGACACCTGGCTTTCTCTCCCTTACCCATTGTGGAAATTCATTCCACCTATAATAGCTTTGGGGTGCTGGCTTTAGGGCGTGGCTTCTTGTCTGTAGGAGATTACACCTGAAGACAAGAAGCCACCCCTTAAAGCCGGTATGCTAAAACTATTGGCAGAATGGATTCCTACAACACCTACCCTGGTTTGATGGCCTATGAGGAAGGAGGTATGTGATCTTTTTGCCTGATGAAGAGGCTTGTAAGGTCCCTTCACATTGCACCCAGGCTCCTGCAAAGGGCCCAGTCCCGGGGTGGGGTGGGGCGGGGCGGGGGAACCTCACTACTGCCCTCCCAGGGGTTGAGAATGCTCCGCAGTGGAAGACAATATTGATGCTCAAGGTCCACCGAGTATGTGTGATTTCCCGGATAACGGGCTGCAGGCACGCAGGCAAGCAGGCAAGCAGGTCCAGGAGAGGCTTTGAGACCAAGGCTGCTGACTCTGCCTTCACTTCCTTCCTGAGAGGGTCAGGGTGTCGAGTGACCCAGGAACTCATACCAACCTCTCAGGTCTGACATGCGGCCGTGGGCTTCACTGAGATCTGTCCTCAGCCTCATGATGATCTCCTGCTGAGACAGGATTTCCTTCTGAGCAGTCAGTAAGTCATCTCTGCAATTAAACAACAACAGTAAGAGTCAGCTGTGCTCACGTCTCTGGTGACTCCCGATGGCGGCTGGAAAGGAGGCCCCAGAGAAAAGGTTCAAAATGCCCAGGGATGAATCCTAGGACCCGAGCCCAGCCAGGGGACGGGCAGCCTTTACACACGCAAAAAGAACACCATCTTGATGCACTTGGCACACTTTGAGAAAGAACGGAAGGGTCAGGTTGGGTTGGGTGGAGGTCCACTGTGGCTCTAGTGAGGGTGTGATCTGGTCCTGCATGGAACCTGTCAACACCGATTGACAGGCCAGTTGGTTTTTTGGAAAGAGGGTGGAAGACCATGGCGGGGGATGGGGGTTCAGAACTTCCATGAGGATGGGAAGAAGAGGGGGAGACAATGAGGGCTTTCTGTTTGTTCTCTGGCATGCTGGGCTCCTGGGCACTGGGGACGGGACGAGGAAGGAGATGTGGGAATGGTAAGAGGGTACATGGCACGGTTGACACCATGAGAGTTGCTGCTCTCACTGGAGGGCTATTCCACAGGACAGGGGCTCGTTAGGGACCGCAGCAAGTAGGCCTGCGAAGGGGGTGGAAGTAAACGGAACCTGGGTTGTGCTTTTGAGGGAGTACGAGGGACCTGGGTGTGGTACACTAGAAGGCAGGATTGAGGTCTGTCACTTGTCACTCTCTAGCAAGCTTAGAGGTTTTGGGGGCCCTAGGCTCTTCTCTTACACATATGTGAGTGTGTGTGTGTGTGTGTGTGTGTGAAGGAGGGAGAGAGAGAGAGAGAGAGAGAGAGAGAGACAGACAGACAGACAGAGGCATCCATGTAAAAGTATACACACACACACACACACACATATATATATATTTTACACACACACACACAAGCACATACACACACACACAAGAGTGCCTCTGTCTTTCTTGGAGCAAAGATTTAATGGCTCTTTGTTTACATATTGTTCTGCCTTCTGGACTATTCTACTCCTCACTTGTTTAAATTTTTTAGCAGTACTGGATCCAACCCAGGGCCTCACACATGTAAGCTAAACACTCCATTACTGAGCTACATTCCGAGCCCCCTATTGTGTGTTTTGAGTCATTACGTAGTCCAGGATGGCCTCCTGTGCACACTCCCAGGTAATGGGATCACAGGTGTGTGCCACCACACCTGGACACGGATAAGTTTTGTTTTCTCAAAAATTGTCAGTTCCTTGAGGCTCCCTGGGCTCCTTGACCATTAGGGTTGGAGAGGAGAGCTCATTAGTTAGGTCATTTAGTACAATCCTTTTCCCCCTCCTTATATTCTATTTATTTATTTTGTATGTGTGCATGTGCCATGCTGCATCTGTGGAGGTCAGAGGTCAGCTTGGGAGACTGTTTCCACCGGATGGTTCTGGGGATCACACTGAGGTTGTCAGGCTTGGCAGTGAGTGCCCTTACCTGCTGAGACATCTCACAGCCTGTTAACCCTTTCCAGAACATTCCCTTGTAAGCAGTCTCCACTCTTAGCAGGGATCTTAAGAATGAGATTCTTCCCAGGAGTGTTTGTGTGTGTGTGGGGGGGCGTTCAGGATTGAAAGCAAATCACAGTGCCTGCTCACAGTCCCCAAGTTGCAGGCATGGTCCTCCTACAAATGCAGCCGCTTAGGGAAGTAGCCCGACTTCCCCAGGACTGCAAGGCCACCAAGGGTGGACCTGTGATCTGAGCAGAGACAGCTGCCTGGGTCTTTCCACCACATTGTCCTCACTTGCAACAGGAACTGAGAAATCTAAGCGACTCTGAGAACACAGATCTGGCCATGTTCCTCCTGCTCCGATGCCTCGAGACCCCGCCTCGGTACTCACATCAGGTGGTCGCACGCTATTTCTTTGGCACTGCTGTCCGGCGCGGGTCCCGCTGCGGGCTCTTTGGGTACCTCCTCCTTTTGAGCTGCATCAGAGGGTTAGGTCAACATCACCACAGTCCGTACTCAGTGGACTTTCCCTTTCCCCTCTCCTGTGAACACACTTGTGTCTCTCACAATTTATTGCAGCTTTCTTTACCCTGAGACTTTCTACGTGGAAGGCCCAACAGGCCGAGGCTGTCTCTGTGTATGAGGTCAGGATGTGGCTTGTGTCCTCTGGGATGACATGTTGACATTTAATCTCCACTATGAGGCTTAGGAAGGTGGAGGCCAGATCTCACTGTGGTGTTAGAGGTGTAGATCAGACAAGACCATGATGGTGGAGCCCGGGACACCAGGGGGACAGAGACCAGACACAGTCATACTCCTTGTCTCTCATTCTTTTCTACCTTCTCCTATTTTTAAAAAAGAGTCTCATGTAGCCCAGGCTGGCCCCAAACCCACTATGTAGCTGAGGATAACTCTAAGCTTCTGACCCTCCTGTCTGTACCTCCCCAGTGCTGAGATTCCAGGCATACAACACTAGATCTCATTTATACGGTGACAGATTGAACCTAGGGTTTCCTGCATGTGCAACCAGTGTTCCACCAACACCTTTGTACACTCCAAACTGTCTCTTGACAGGTGACACCCTGGGCTTTCTCGGGACTCTGCTGGCAAGGACATCACCAGAAGTAGACTGTCCACATTGAACCTAACCTCCAATTAGACTTCTTTTCTTACTTGTCCACTTGTAGGTCTGGGCTGTCAGCAATAGAAAATGGGCTAATATGGCTATGAGCTCTTCCTGACTACTGGGTGAGGCAGGGGTCACCAGTGACATTTACAGACAAGGAAGCCACATGAGAACGAGGAACCTGATGGCAATGGCCCAGCCAAGCTTCAAGAGGTACAGCCTTATTGATGGGTCATACCACCTACCCTTTTCTCTTTACAGACATTGATCTTAGAAGCATCCATGTTTTCTGCCTCCTTATTTTCTCTATTTACTCCTTAGTCCACTACTCAGTAGTCCTCTACTTTTCAATTCTTACTCAATTTATTTATTCATTCAACAAACATGTATGTGATGCCGGTTTATGCCAGACACTTATCTAAGGGCAGACATGACAAAGATGCTGTCACCCCTAGGTCCCATTGAGTATCCTCCCTCTTACCTGAATTCTGGGCTAGGGGTCAGAGCCTGTTCTGTGCCCTTGTTTTGGGGCCCCGCTTATCCCAAGTCACTGTCAGGGCCCTAACTTGGTTACTCACAGGGATAGCGGTTGGCTTGTCTATCATGGATCTCCAGTGCCTAAAGGAAGCTGGGGCATTGTAGATGTGCAAATAGGAGGTGCGTGAGGTAAACCTGAGCTCACCTCCGGGTCTCTCACTGGAGGCTAGCTCACCTCTGGGAGAACTTTGGCATGTCTGGAGACACTTGGCCGTGAGGGGGGAGGGAGGAATGAAGCCAGTTGTGGAGGTCAGGGATGGAGCTAAAGCAGGCACCCTGCCCCCAAGCAAACACCGACAGTGCTGATGTTGAGAGACCTAGGGCCTGCGGCTTCCAGACCTTTCCACCCAGGGCTTAGTGTCTGTCACGAGTGGCCTAGGTCGTTTAGGGTGAGTGAGTGACGTCACTCTGACTGCTGTTTTTAGCCTCTTTGGGTTTATTTTGTAGGAGGCCGGTCATAGCTGCCCAGGGGAGCTGTTAGTAGGGTCACAGTGGCCAGTGGCACAGAGAGGGCCCTGGACTGATGTCCTCATGTGGAAAAGACAATTCCACTAATAACTCTGGCTGCCCGTGCCTCGCCGGCTCACTGGGTTAACATAAAGGCTGTCCTAACTCATTGGCATTACTTTGGTTCTGCTAGGCCTCGGAGGGCGTTTAGTGTCATGTGGGATGAGGAGCAAAAGGGGCCGACAGAGAGCGAGGGAGCTGTGAGATGGGTCCCAGCCCGGGGCCAGGCAGGAGCTGCTGGACGGTGGGTTTCTCCCCCAGCCCCAGCCCTACCTGATTCATTGTCTTTTAACGTCGCAATCTCTCCTTCTATTTTCCTGTGGTGCTGAGTCACTTGACAGAGCCTCTCCTCCAGGCTCACGATGGTCTGCGAGTGCTGTTTGATTTGTTCTTTGTATACTGTGATTTCCTCCTCGAAGCCGTGCTTCTGGGATTCCCGCTCATCCTGCATTGCCTGCATCGACTGCTGCTGCAGCCTCAGCCGCTCCTCCATCATGATCTGGGGGAACATCGAGGGAGGTGCAGCCTTAGGGGCTGGATCAGGTGGCGACAATCTGCCTCCTTCACCTGTGCAGGCGCTAAACTGCATCTTACCCGAGAGTCTCGTATACATGTCCCTGCTAGCATTCTTCATGCTTCCTCCCTGTGTGGCTGACCTGTCTGTTAGAGCCAAACCTTTCAGAGTTTGGCTCTCACTAACACTACTGCTTCGAGGAACTTTCCTGGACATGTGTTCATGGACGAGTCCCAGATAATTTCTCTTTTGTTTGTTATCTTCTTCCTGGGACCTTAATCAACACCTGACATGGTCCTGGATTCTTGTTTCTCTCCCCTGCGAGTCCCTCAGATTCACACAGCAGAAGCCTTGCCTGCTGTCTTACTGGTGTGCCCACCGCACCTAGGCCCAGATGTTTGATGAGAATAAACGAATGGTGTGTGTGTGTGTGTGTGTGTGTGTGTTTGCGCGAGCGCATGCTGGAGAGATGGTTCAACAGTTAGGAGCACTGGCTGCTCTTTCAGAGGCCTGGACTCTATTCCCAGCACCCACATGGCGATTCACAGTCATCTGTTACTCCAGTTCTAGGGAATCCAACACCCTCATCTGGTCTCCAAGGGAACCTGGCACACACATGGCGCACTGACACAAATACAGACAAAACACCCATACATATAAAATAAAAATAAATGTGGCTTTCAAAAAAGAATTAATGAACCAGGCAGTGGTGGAGCACGCCTTTAATCCCAGCTCCAGGGAGGCAGATGCAAACGGATCTCTGTGAGTTTGAGGCCAGCCTGTTCCACAACATCTAGTGCTACACAGAGAAACCCTGTCTTGAAAAACCAAAAAAAAAAATCAATCAATAAATAAATGAAATAAAATATTAATGAATGGATAAATAGTTGGATGAGGGGAAAAAAGCAAACCAATTTGTATTTCTTGTATGTGTATGTACGCTGTGTGTAGAGGTCAGAGGACAACCTTAGCTGTCATTCCTCAGGTGCCATCCACCTCTTTTACTGACACGGGGTCTCTTCCTGACCAGGAACTTATCATGTAGACTATGGGGCTGGTCAGTGAGCCTCAGGGATCTGCCAGTCTCTGCCTCCCTGCTGCTGCGATTCCCATCAGCTAAAATCACCAACAAAGGCTTTTGGGAAATCAGCCATCCTCTCCTTTCTGTGACCACCCTCCCCTTTCTGTGACCACCCTCCCCTTTCTGTGACCACCTTCCCCTTTCTGTGACCACCCTCCCCTTTCTGTGACCACCCTCCCCTTCCTGTGACCACCCTCCCCTTCCTGTGAC